GTAGTCAGGTCCAGGCTTAATACATTCCATGAAAGTACCTATTCTAAATGCTAGTGTGGAAGTAGTTCTTCCAAAGGCTGGAATGTGCATCCTTCAGAGGTGAGGGGGGAAAACATCAGTATGAGATACTCAGGATAGTCCTGAGTCCCACAGAATCAACAAATTTCTGTTCTCTTTGAGAGAGTGAAAAGAACCTGAATTTGAAGTAAAAAAATTCAGGTTCAAGTCCCAGTTCTGTTACTGTGCTATCATCAGCAAGTCATTTAACCTCTCTGAAACTCAATTTTCTCATCTATAAAATGGATATATAATAGTGGCCTTTCCTGCCTCACTACGTTATTATGAGGGTTATGAACACAGAACCTATTATTAAGTGGAAGTCTACCATGGCAGAAAGAAGACGTGACCAGGAATCAGGAGTTCAATATTCCAGTACAAGTTCTGTCACGATCAGATGTAGGTTTCTGAGTCACCTAATTTCTCCAGACCTTAGGATCTCACTGCTGTTGAGATATGCAGGTTTAGGGGCGCTGGGACCGCAACATCACAACATACGGGTCCTACCCAAAAGAATTCAACCCAAGCCTTCTTTCAGCCAAAGATAAGGTTTATTAGGACATCCGCCATATTGGGCAGACTCTTAAGGAGTCTGAACATTAGTGAACTTGTAAGAATCTGAGCATCTTAAAAATGGAGACAAGATGGACCTTATATACAGAAAGACTATGGGAGGGATCTAGGAGTGGCCAAGTAGTCTATGAGGTAACAGAACTACAGGGGTGGCCAAGGGAGAATGGAGCCTAGATAGGATTAAGGATGTGAAGGGGGGGGGGGAGACATAGGGGGGTCTAGGCTAGGTTAAGGGTAACAGAGAATTGGGAGATTGGGTGGAGCCACAAAGAAAGGCCAGGTGATAGGATTATAGCCTCAGGCGAAAGCCAGAGATTTGGCCATGTGGGAAAGTCCAGGGTTTTTCCTTTTTGGGGTCTAGATTCCATCCTCATCACTGCCAGATAGGATCTTAGAGATCATCTGGTCTAACCTTCTCATTTTACACAATTATTCTATTATTATCACATTATTATTATTAAATTGATAATTAGTTAAATCCATAAAACCACTATTTTCCTTCTCAAAACTAACAAGACAACTTACAAAAAATTGCATCAACACCACACTTCAGAACATAACTCCATAACAGGCTAAAGTTAGAGTAAGAGTCAAAACAGAAATCATTAACAGTAAGCTGTATATTAACTTATCTCTTCCCCAAGTCTGCCCATCTACTCAAGTATGCAGAGATATCACTTTCTTCTTACAGACAGCTTTTATTTTTATGTCATTTTCATTTCCAAACATATCCCTCCTTGCTTCCCTACCCAGTAAGTCATCTCTTATAAGAAAGATTTTAAAAGAAAGCAAAAAAGAGAACTTCAGTAAAACCAGACAACATAGTTGGAGGAGCTGGGTGCTAATTTCACTTCTTGTCACCTACTATCTCAGTGATGTGAAGCAGTAGCTAATAGCTAACATTCATATAATATAATCCTTTCAGGTTTGCAAAGCAGTTTACATAAATTACCTGGTGTGGTCTTCACAACAGCTACTATTACCCCCATTTTACAGAAAAGGAAACTGGGGATTAGAGAGATTAAGTGACTTGCCCAGCATTATTGTTTATCCTTTGTTCTAGAAGAGGACCATTACTTCAGGAAAGTGGTGCTATGACTTGCAAGTGAATCGGATTTAAGTGAGGAAGGGCTATGCAAAGCCATCAGCCTCACTCTCTCCTCCACAGCCATCTGGGTACGGTTGTCAGACATAGATAAGGATGACTGGAGATGGCCCTGGATGCAGTAGGAGACCTTGGTCTTTTTATTTTAAGGTCTTTCCCTAAATTTGACTGAGGCAATGCCCACTTAGTGATTAAGGCTAGATAAGAAATAAGGCAAAGAATCATTTAGCATCACTTAGCTAGTAAATGCCTGAGGCAGGATGTTAACTCAGGACTTTCTGATTCTCAAGTGTTCCTCACCCTATCCATGAAATCAAGCTGCCTTCTCTCTTGGCAAGACACTTAAACTTCTCTGGGTCCTGGTTTTCCTATCTGTAAAATGAAAGGGTTAAATAAAATGGCCTCTAAAGTCTCTTCTAGCTCTAAATCTATAATTCAATGCTCAATAATGTCCGGAAGTATATATAATATTACACATCCATAGCTCCCCTCCACTGCAAAGAGAAAATTATCTTCTCAATTCTTCTCTGGGACCATGCTTGGTCATTATAATTAAAAAATATTCAGTATCATTTTTTTGTTCTTTCCATTTACATTTTTTTAGTCATTGTCTATTACATATTGTTTTTCTAGTTCAGTTTATAAGTATTTTCACTTCATATAAGTATTCCCATTCTTTTCTGAATTCTTTGTTATTTGGCACTTCTTACAGTATAGTAATATTAAATTTTGATTGTGTGCCACAATTTATTTAGCTATTTCTCAGTTGATAAGCTCTGACTGTTTCTGTTTTTCTGCTTCCACCAAAAATATTGCTGTAAATACCTGAGAATATATGGCATCTTTCTTTCTGTCTCTGACTCCCTTGGCATATATGACTAAGAGTTCTGGGTCAAAGGAAGTGTACATTTTAGTCGCCCTTTAGAAAAAAAAAAAGCCCAATTCCAAACTATTTTACAAAATGTTGGACTAATTCATAGCTCCACCATCCATGTATTAGTGTGCCTATCTCTACCATAAATGACTTTCAACAACTACAAAAACAATAAGCTAACATTTATTGTTAGCTAAGTACTATTCTAGGCTCCAGTGGAGATATAAAATGTAGATAAGATAGAATCTCTTTCTTCATGAAGCTTAGTCTATAAAGGCAATATGATACCCAGATAACTGACTAAAATAAATAATAAACAACTGTAAGAGAGTTTAGTATAAAACAAACTCCCACGGGAGGTCCAAAGGAGAAGATCACTACCAACAAGAGAGTGATGGGTCATCGATAAAGTTTTTTATGGAGAAAATAATGCTGGAAGGGAAAGGGGGAGGGGACAGGAATATTTTTGAGCAAGTTATTGGCATAGTCAAAGAAAATTAAGCATGCAATAATGTTCAGGATCTGTTTGAGTTCACAGATCCTGGAGGCAAGAAGACTATTAGCAAGAAATGATAAGAGACTAAATAGGGTGGTAGTAGTGGGAAAAGAACCAATCTCTTCAGACAAAGGATTTATAGAGTAGTTTCAAAATGTGCAATTAATATTCTTATGCTTTTCAGAGACTGGATATGCGCTTCAATAGTCAATAATCAATAAATATTTACTAAACAAGTACTATGTGCTAAGCTGTGGGAATACAAAAAGAGTCAAAAGCCTATGAGAGTTTCTTGAGGACTTAATAGGGGAGGCAACAAGCAAACAAATATAGACAAACCAACTAAATGCAGGATAAATAAGAAAGGGAAGGCACTATAATTAAGAGAGGGTAAGTAAGAAACATTTCCTATTAAAGGTAGGATTTTAGTTGGGACTTAAAACTAGGGAAGGTAGTAAGTAGAGATGAGGAGGTTTCAAGAGTCTTTATCATATAAAGGGCCATAAATATTTAGCAAGTTAGCAAAAAAAAAATCCATTGTTTCCTGAGAGCTAAATGTACTTGGGAAGCTATCTGAAGCATGTTTTGGAACTCATGAACCACCAAAAAGGGAAAAAGATCTCCCAAGAAAGTCATTCTTGTCAGTGGCAACTCAAAAAGGTCCACATTATTCCTAAACTAACATCATACAATGCCACCTTGAAAGCAACAATAAGCAATTCTGCTTCTTGGGTAGATATTTTCTGTGGGGCTTTTTTTCCCTTCTCATTATCTTTATCAGCAAGGATATTTGCATGAAAACAAGATCATTGGTCTCTGGGGATTCATCAGCTCCTGATGCTTATTTTTCATCCATGTCATCCTCTCAATTAATGCTAGGGAGAGGATTGAGACATCGAAACACCAGATTAGGGTGTCAAATGAAAAACCCTAGAGCAGATGAATATCCATAAGGAACAAAAATCTTGTTTTTATGCAAATACACCCATGGACAAGAAAATAAAAGAAGACATTTTCCGGAAAATCTGATACACATCAGTGAAATTATTTCTAAATTAGTAACTGTTTTCCACATGGCTCTAAAATGTTTCTAACAAAAAGCATAATAGTCAATTAAAGTGGCAATCATCTACCACTAAACACTAGTACAGAAGTTGAAATAAAACTGAATTCCCAACAAGACTACTTGTAGTTCTGATCACTGGACTTACTGACTGGTAATAAAGATCACTTCTGTTGCAACAGGTACGAGTTTACTCTTACACCTTTCTGGAAACAGAGATCTCTTCTCTCAAGGTCCCTTCCGGTTTTGTATTTCTATAAACACACCTCTTCAATACTCCAAAGTAACACTCGTACTAAAAATATGGATTTAGAACAGTAAATACTAATTCTAATTTTTATTTGGAGGAAGTCACCTTCATAGAAAAGGTGAAACTCTAATATATGCTAATTTATATCACTAGCAAGCTTTTTCTCTTAATTACAAAGTATGAATTTTACACAGTCCCTTTTCTAATTTTATCATAATAGAGGAAAGAAGCATAATGAAATTGTTTTAAATTGGCAAGGATCTTAGAATAGTATATAACTAAGAATTTTAAAAAAAGAAACACCCCCAATATAAAATCTGTACTGTCCAAATAAGATTTTCTCACCTATATGGCAAGGAAAAGTCATTCTGGAGTCTAATACTATAATCAGTCAGCTAAATAGTCTAGTATGCTGATTAACAACAGAAAGATTTCTCACGTTTTGTGTTACCTCTAACATGCTTACCATTCTAATTTCTAATAAAAATATTTTCTTAATTATAAAAAAAGAAAGATCTTGAAAGAACCATTACATTTCAAAATGCCACACGTAGCATGAACAAACATGGCCTGGGTACTTACACTCATCCAACCCCAGTTGATAGGCTAGATTCTGCAGCCCTCGTACTTTCTCCATCAGGTTAGCTGTGGTGAGGCTGCCCAGCTCTGAAAATAGAATAAGGGTGAATTTCAGTACTGTTTCTATTTTCCCTAAGTCCATCCATATTAGAAATAAGCTTTTAAGCTACGTTTCTTAGTCACTACTAGTCAAAACAGAGCACATGTTCCCAGTTCTCAAACTGAGAAAAAGGTGATAAGTTTATTTGTTCACTTTTGCAACGTACCTTAGCGAAGTCCATGCACTTGAAAGAGAGCTGAATCAGTACGTAAGTGGTCTTATATAACCTACGCACTCTACACTCACATTTCCCATTCTTTGCATAGGATAAAACTTATTTTGCTATTTCTATCTTCTTCAGTTCATCCTGTAAAATGTATATAATGGAAACCATTTTACAAAACATAAAGGAAGCACTGCAGGTATATGTTGTTCTTATTTCAAAAAAACCTATGATTTCATTGGTGTTGGTACTTCCTTCACTGAAAGATGGTCACTTGTCCACACCTTTGTAGACGGTTTCAGGAACTGCCTCACCTGATATCCAACTGTCTCGTGGCAAGCCTGTTCTAGTTTAGCTACATTTATCCTATTAGCTGCCAGACCTACAGACAGAGTTTTACCAGCTGCAGGACTTGTCACACCTTTCACTGCATTGGCAGTAACTTACAAGAACCAGTGTTCCTATAATACCCTGAGAAAGCACTGCTATGGGCCTTTGGAGAAAGTACACAAGCCTGCTAATTAATCAGTGATACCTCCAGCAAATCAGCTCCATTACAAAACTTCCCAAATAAAGTTCCCAACTTTTATAAGTTAGGCAGAGTGGCTAGAAAGCCAGACTTTGAGGGAGACTTGGCTTCAAATTCCAGAATCACAGACGACTGAACAACACCTTAACCGTAAGCACTCACTTAAAACTTTTGATAACTATTAATTTTTTAAAGTTAAAAGCTTTAACAACCAATTTGCCCCACTCACCAATCTATCCTATCAATTTACTTAACCCTTTGTTTGTTCCCCTTAAATTTTCTTGCTCACTTTTTTTTTTTGAATTTTTTTTTTAAAGGCAATTGGGGTTAAGTGACTTGCCCAGGGTCACACAGCTAGTTAAGTGTCAGGTGTTTGGTCTGAGGCTGGATTTGAACTCAGGTCCTCCTGACTTCAGGGTCGGTGCTCTACCCACTGTGCCACCTAGCTGCTCCAAAATATTTATAGCAGCTCTTTTTTCTTTTTTTTTTTTTGTTTTTAGGCAATTGGGGTTAAGTGACTTGCCCAAGGTCACACAGCTAGTAAGTGTCAAGTGTTTGGTCTGAGGCCGCATTTGAACTCAGGTCCTCCTGACTTCAGGGTGACTGCTCTATCCACTGAGCCACCTAGCTGCCCCTGCTCACTTTGTTTTACCAACTACTTTTTCCTCATCCTTCTCTAGTCTACCTCTTATAATTCCACTCCCTCAATCTTTTATATCCTCCTTAATTGTCCTTGATCTCTTACATCCTGGAAGCAGAATCTTGGCCCGGAGATTGTTCTTCAAATTTTCTTCAGTTTCTCCCAAATTTTGCCAAATTTCTCTTTCCCAAATTCAATCTCTGCCCTATTTCACAAATCCAAACCCTTTCAAGTTACTTGACAGATTTCATTTTCCCTATACAGTTCAAAACCTTCTTTCTTCTCCCATGGAAACTAGAACTAGAGGACCTCTGATACATACTGTTACCATGGGCAAATCCTTCATCCTCTCAAGATTCCAATGAGTGCTCTAAGACTATAATGTGAATTTGTTTCTCCCTATCCTTGCCACTCATGAAATCACATGTCCAGATTAAAAAGAAAAGAGAACAGAAGTGGTGGCAGAAAACAATACTTCCCCTAAATCCAAGTACTATGATAAATTTAAGAGGTAATCAAGAAGAAACAAGGCCATGATTTTAAAAAATGTTCTCATGAGCATATAAAAAGGCTTCTCTTCCAGATCACCTTTACATCTGGTCTTGTTTCTATCACTTCCAAGTCACAGATTAATTTGGCTCATAAATGCTTGTACTTCAACGGACTCTCTTCAACAATGTAGACAGCAATGCAGCCATGACTTTTCAAACTGTAGGAGGGACTCTGGTCCCTGTCTTCTTATAAATTCTCCACAGGAAATCCTTCTAATATTCTGGGGAGGCCTTCCTGTGTAGATCCCTTAAGATTGCAGGGATACCAAAGGAGTACATGGCTGTCCATCCTTCCCTTCTGCCATGAACAGGTTCTTTTCCTCCTCATCCACTCTCTGAAGAAGTCATTTGTGTTGCCTTTCCTGCACAATGCTTTCGAGTCCACACAACCTATTCACACCAATCCTTCTTGCCCTGTGAGTGATGCAAATCTCAAAAGTTAGTAGTCAATGACTTGCAGTCATATATCATTATTAGAAGAATATTGTTGTTTAAAATAGGCTTTTGTTTCAGGAAGAAGCTGGGGGAACGTGGAGAGGAGGGATGCTCCAATAAAAGCACTGCACAATTCACTTACTCTCCTCCTGTTCAACTCTAGGTCCAGTTCACTGTTCAACTACAGTGTTTGAGTAAGTCTCTAAGATATACATATTGATGGACCAGTTATGTGGAGTTGGCCATTCAATGGCATATCGTGGTCTAATCAACAGGCATTCTTCAATTATTTCATTTTTTCCATGTGGAGAAATAAGTTTAGCTCTTTTGATCTCTTTTGAGATCATGGATCTCATTTACATGGAACTGAAATGTTCTAGGGCTTAGTATAATATGTAAAATATCAACTGCAAACAAGAGTATCTAAAAGACCTCATCCTCCCAAATAAATCCCTTTTCAATTTGGACTCTGCATTAGACATCGTCAAAGGCAGTAGCAAACTCCTCTGGTGAGCATACGTTTTCCCCTGGTTTATATTTTACTTTAAATTAGCAAATGTTGAAACAAAATTATCCCTACTGTTCCAATTTTTAAAGAATCTTGTATGATTTTGACATATGCAATGGAACCAGCTTTTTGGAATATCATTTAAAAAATGTTCTTAGACCTTCATCAAGGATGCCCTCAGTTCATGTATGGATAAGTCACATAAAAACGTGGTAGAAATGGTAAGTACTTTGGGTTGGGACTGAGATTCCCTCAGGTAGCTTTTTTCTTGTGTAAGAATTAGGCCCAAGATTTTTTCCAACCCTTTAGTGTATCTCTCTCCTATTTACACATACACGCCCCCCTGAGAAGCACCACCTCAATGTCCTCAAAACTGCCTTGCCTACTCCTTGTATATTTGGTCTCATCTGGCTACTCTTCCCAGCTTTGTTTTCTTTAGTGCCATTTTTGTACTCTAACACATCTAGGTCTGGGAATTCAACTGCGGAGACTTTACTGTCATTTACAGTGAAAAGGGTATGTTATTAAAATGTGTTTAGAGAACGCTTTAATATTTTCCTCTATTTACTCACCTATTTCCAATTTCATCCTTTGGTTTAACTGGGTCCCTTGCCAAATTTTCCTCAAAGTCATCTCCCCTCTCTTGCTTCTCATTGTTTCATAAGGTGATGTTCAAAAGTAAGTGTTTCTTCTAGTTTGGTATCATTTTGATCTTGGCTCTAACAAATTAGCAGTCTTGACTATGCATACTATGTATACCGACTTGAAAATAACTACCATATGAGTAACCAGCCATTTTCTGTCTATTAATATATAACCAACTTCCTGTTTGTGATGTTATTTTGGTCCTGACCTAGTACCTGCCAATTACTTTCTCAATAACGGTATTAACAATATATAAAAACAAGGCTTCTGTATAGCCTACTACTATCATTCACTTCTTACTCCTGAACCATATTTTCTAATATTTTTTGCCATCCCTCCTAACACCCACCTCTGCAATGAATCACTGATGACTAACGTGTACTATATATTCATTGAATTTAGAGAGTCTTTGTAAGATCTTTGTAGAATTTCTCCATCTCCTCATCCTCTACAACAGAAGCTGGCATATAAGCTACAATCATCTTCATCGTGGTCTTTGTACAGATACTTATTCATGACAATAAGAGGCAGTATGGTAGAGTGGGTTAGAAAGCTGGCCATGAAGATATGGATTAGTCCTGCCTCTGATACAAACTGACTATGTAACCCTGGGAAAGTCATTCATGCCCTCAGTACTCTTGGCGACCCACTCAGGCTCTAGGCTGCAGGAAAAGTGCAAAACTGTTCTGGCAGGAATTCTCTATGTTAATGAAATCATAGGCCCGGTTCCAATCCTATCACGACCTAGCAATATAAGATGGCCAAACAGCATGAGGAACGAGGCTTCCTGTTGCTTCTGGATAAATGATAAAACCAACCCCAAACAACTTCTTTATTTGACTTGCCAAGGAACGCCTGTGAATAATCCTCCTATTTAGCAAATTTCTGTTCTGGTTTTATTTACAGTATAAATATAATTCAGTTCTTCTATTGGTATGTCCACTCACTGGTCACTGGACACGGATCCCAAATAAAGTGTGTCCATAGCTAATTTAATGTTTATAGAGGGGTAAGAACTCATAAGATTCTCAGCCCCCTTAATCCTTTCTTCAGCCACTCTTGCCTACATCACTGCACAATCAGAAGGGACAGTACTAGCCTGAGCCCACTTTGTATATCACTTTATTTCATAAACTGCCACAGTCAAAGAATTCATCACCAAGTGGCTAGCCTATTGATGATTTGTTTTCTACATTCAGTAAAGCTGGTCATCAGAAAGCAAAAAATGTTGCTAAGATTGTACACCTGAAGTTTTCTAGCATAGTAGAACCTCCCAGATATGTACTCTGTTGACACAACCTTTAACTCCCTGAGACCACCCACATGTCAAGGTAAGGCATCAGAGCTAGACTTTGATTCTTAATATGTGTAATCATTAATGCTTGTAATGAAAGACCCAAACACAGTGGAAGAAATTAAGCAAATGTCTATTTGCAAATATCAGAAGAGTCAGTCTAAGATATTCTTTAGATTCTGCCTATTCCTACGGAAAGGGAAAAGTAAAGCATTTTGCATTTCAGTATTCTATCCACAAGAACAAATTGGTTTGGCAATCAGAAGTGCTTTGTTTCCCCCTTTAAGCCTTCCAAAGTAACTATCCAAATTCGGCATAAGTTGAAATAATAATAAATGTGGCAGCTAGATAGTGCAGAGGCTAGAGCTCTGACCTTGGAGGCAGGAGGACCTGAGTTCAAATCTGGCCTCAGACACTTGACACTTACTAGCTGTGTGACCCTGGGTAAGTCACTTAACCCAATTGCCTCACACACAAAAAAAAGAAATAATAATAACAATAACAGTAGTCATAATTTACAATTATTTAGTGCGAAGTAGTTACAAAGCACTTTTCTCACAACAACCTTGGACAGTAAGTCAGTAGTATCATTACTTACCCCATTTTGCACGTGAGGAATCTAAGCTTCAAAGATGAAGTTATTTGCAAAGTCCTATACCTAATAAATGGCAGATTTGAACCCAGCTTTGAGTCCAACTCTAGTGTTCTTTCCACTATGCTAGAAAAACCATAGTGTCCACTGCCTTAAAAAAAGTTCAGTTCTTAAAAAGCAGATTTCTATCTCCATTTCAGGTTCATATTTCAATTTCAGTCTAAGATTTCCTAACAACCATGGAATATTTATTGCCAAAAGAATCACCAAGGGGAAGACATGAATAACAAAAAGATCTGGCTCCGTTAATATTTTCTAACTGAAACTTCCATTCTGCGTTTGGGACTCAAACAATCTACAACCACCAAATGTGTGTTGACCATGTATGTGCAAGGCTTAATAAGGGATACAATATGTAAAATACAAAATATTAGCTCCTGAATACAAAAAACCTACATTCTAATTTTCTTAGTGCACACAGAAAAAGTGCTAAATGGGTAATAAAAAAAAAGGAGTATTACTGAAGTTCAAGGAGGGAGAAATCACTTCCATTTGGTGTGGTCAGTAAGCTTCATGGTCCTCCTCAACAAATCATGAAGAATTTTTTTTGAGTCTGCTCTTGACAGGGCTTAAACAGGTAGAGACAAAGAGAGAGCACATTTTGGGCAAGGGAAACATAATATGGGCAAAAATCCAGAGAAGTAAAGCATAAACTGTATTCAGAGGACTAGTTTGAGGGTTCATATAGGGGAGGAGTGGGAAATAAGCCTAGAAAAACAAAGTGGGGCCATATTGTTGAGAATCTTGATTTGAAGTCAGTAGATTATCATCATTTCTTACCTTTTAGCATATCAATATCATCATGTTCTAATTCAGCCATCCATTTGGGTGGAGAGCTAGTGATGGGCTGCCAGAAAACAAGAATATATAGATTATGATTAAGGGCTCACAGACAACATAAAAGGATCCTATTCTTTCACAACAAAATAATTGTGGCTCATATACTAAATAATTATGAGCTAAATTATGGCTGGGAATAACTGAAACTGTTGGTAGAACTAAATTTAAAGACGAAGATGGTAAAGCTATCCTGTACTTGGATACAAACACCTACCACACAAAATAAGGCTGTTCACTTTTAAACCAGGCTGTCAGCTTAAGGATAAACTAGTGTGGAACAGGTTGAACTAGCAATAAAAGAGTCCTGCCCCAGTGAAGCCTACTCAGCAGAAACCAACTCTCACCCTGAGTGCTATGAAAACCTCAGTAACTGCTATTCTTTAACAGAGTTGAAGACTTAAAGAATATACCAAAATCAGAGAATCCTGAACTCTTAGGGGAACAGGAAGAACTGAATAATCATCACCTTGTATTCCACAACCTCAGAAAACATTCACAACTGTCTATGAAAAACTGAGGATTTCAGTTCACTCTTCATTTAGCATGAGTTATGAAAGAATCTCTCTATTCCCTTGTCTAATTTCAGCATTCTTATCATTAGTTTAAAGTAAACATTCTGTATAAATAACAACAGTAATGTGATACAGGTGATAAAAACCGTCTAAGCTAAACATCTTACATGCATGAAAATAATAGGAGGCAAAAAACTCAATTACCACTGTATCAGATACAGATTATAGTAAATTAATTAGCTCAAATCTGGTCTCCTGCCACGTACCCACATCCACTAATTTGTATGTAAGATAATGCAGAACATCCATGATGTAGAACTCGTCCCAAGTTAGTAGGTCAGACACCCTCTATTCAAATGCCCTCTCATATGATCCTGAGTCATGAGTATAAAGACAAGCCTCCAAGCTTCCCAATAATCCCTTCTTTTAACTCTAAACAGTGGCATTAACTGATGGCTTTCCTTTCTGAGGCCTTCTGATACTTTACTGAGAAGAAAAAAATAGTAAATATAGTATTGACTATAATTTACTATAATAAATAGTAAATATGGTAAAATGCCCTCAAGAATGGAATGTTAAAAGCCCAGTGTGACATATGAACACATCAAAAGTCTTCTCACAATCACAATAGGGACAAAAAAGAACAAAGTTTAAGAAACAACTGATAAGGGCAGCTAGGTGGCGCGGTGGATAGAGCTCTGGCCTTGGAGTCAGGAGGACCTCAGTTCAAATCTCAGACATACAACATATGACACTTACTAGCTATATGACCCTGGCCAAGTCACTTAACCCCGACTGCCTCACCAAAAAGGCAACAACAAAAAAAAAAAAATGATAAAAAGCTCTCCTCCAAACTTATTCTAATATAAGTAGAGAATAAATACTTTATCTAGGATATAATTTGTTGACCAACATATTTTCCCTTACTTCTACAAATAGGATTGTAATAGAAAGTACTGTCCGTTTCCATTTTTCTATTGGTCTGTGTGAGCTAAAACTAAAAGTATCTCTTTTACCCATCAGATAAAAAACTAAAAGGGAGGAAAAGAATTCCCAGAGAATAAGATTATCTTTTCAAGGAAGAATACACCAAAACAGAGACATAAAATCCTTACTCTATCTGGCCAGAGCCAAGACACATCACCTTTGAAATAAGAGAGAGGAAAGAAAAGAGGAAAAAAAAAAAAAACTTACTCAATTTTCTAATGCCAGTCTTGACTCAGACTTATTCAAATATTACTCCCCTTGTTTAAGCCTCTCATGACTACGGTGACATCCACTTTTACAAGATTATCTTATTAATTAGTACTCCTGAGCAATGCCTTTAAAAACAGAAGGGGTTGGGAGATACAGTTCCCTTTTCCAATGTGTGAATCTGACAAATCTAAGCAATTTTGAGATTCCTTGTCCAAAGAGGAAATAGAATTATCAGTTGGTACCTATTATACTCATAGAATCATAGATTCTGAACAGTGCCACCAAGCCATCTGGTACAATCTTCAGGACCAGAAAGAGGAAGGGATTTGCCCAAACCCACAAAGGTTAAAGCATTGGTCAGAAGCCTAGTCCTCTGATTCCAAAGACAATATAACAAAAAGGAACCACTTAAGTAATGAAGGCATTTTGACTTCTTTAACAGCCTACATTATCTCCACTAGTTTATATACCTATACCCAAGAAAGGATGGGAACTGCACTTGTGATTTCATTGGTGAAGGGAAATTTCCTCTAATGCAGGCTGGTACCTTCTCTGACACTTGCAATCTTAGAGCACTGCTTACTTCGAAAGTAAATAACTTGCTCAGGGTCACAGTACTACAAAGTCTATATAAAAAACAAAGACTTCCTGTATCAGATTGTGCGCCATATTGGGGAAGGAGGGGAGGAGGGAGGGGGAGAAAAATTTAAAACTCAAAAGCTTATGGAAGTGATTGGTGATATATCAAAATAAATTAAAAAAAAAAAAAAAAGACTTGAAGCTAGGCCTTCCTGACTTCAAGGTCAGCTCTCTATACCATGCGGACTCTCTACCCGCAGAAGCACTGTAAAAAATGACGAACAGAAAAAGACTGGCATGGATGAAACCAATCATAATAGAAACAGAGCAAAAAGATTTCCCAAAACCTACACTATGCACTAGGAAGTTAGGAAGAGTTAAAATCAGATACACTGAGTTACACAAACAAATATTGTACAGATAAATTCTATAAATTCTGAAACAAATATTATACAGATAAATTTTTACTACCAAAGTAAGAGCTCACTTACACTTTTGAAGGAGGCTGCAAATTCAGCAACACCTGGCACTGAAAAGAGAAAGCTTATTATAATTCCATAAGACCTAACAGCACCTTTTAACACAATGCTTCATCCCAAATTAGCTAAAATTCTGAAACTAAATACCAAAACAAAAAATTGTTCTTTTCAGTATGTGTGTAGATATGTGTGTATATACATATATACACATACATGTATGTACGCATGTATATACACACAAATATATGTTCATGTGTGTGTGTGCATGTGTGTGTGTGTGTGCGTGTGTGTGCGTGTGTATGATAAACATGCTCCAAAGTCATCTAGTCCAATTCTTGCTCATTTCACATATAATGAAACTAAGGCTCAGAAAAGCTAAGTGACTTTCCCAGGAGTTCATTTTCAAAGCCACCCTCAAAATAACAATGATCCTTCACTTAGTGCATCTGATGAAAAAGAAACAAATAACTTACATTGTTCAGGCCAGAGGTCTGGTGAGGCTCGATCAAGTTTTTCAAAACTCAGCAAAGATGCTTCCAGGTCGGTGCCTAGAATAACACATCCAGACATACAGTCAGACATAAGCCACATTTGTGACACTTTCATTTTAAGAAACAGATCATATCACACCACTGGACCTTCACACCTAAGAATAATGGCTTGGGCTGAACTAGAAATGGTACAACCTGAATTCCTACAACTTTCTTTGCAAACAAAACCATATCACAATTTAACACTAAAAGGATATGCGTAAATGGTATAAACCTGTCTTCTGAGACAGTAAACAACATCTTTTTCAACTGGGTTTTAAAAACATATATGGTACATTGAAAGTAGACTTCAGAGAGTATAATTGTTTGATGGTTTAGAAAAAGATATAACTTAATTCTTTAGAAACTAAGGAACTAAGTTTAGGATGAAGCATAATTTAATTCAGACAAAAGTTGAAATAAACTGATAGTACTTAATTTAGCCTTAGAAACTAAGAGAGGCATTGTCAAATGGATAAGTAGTAAAAGGATATGACAAAAGTTGAAATAAACTGATAGTATGTAATTTAGCCTTAAAACTAAGAGAGGTATTATCCAATGGATAAGTGGTCAAAGGATATGAACAGTTCTTAAAAGAACTGAAAACTACTGACCATCATCTGATAAATTGTTCTAACCCATCATTGAGAGAAATGCAAATTAAAACAACTTGAGGCTTTGCCACACACTCAAATAAATTGACAAAGGTGACAAAAGAAGGAAATGGCTCAATTTTGAGAGGCTATGAGAACAATAGTAGGCACACTAATACACCCCTGGTGGAACTATGAATATGTCTAACCATTCTGGAAAGCAACATGGAATCATGCCAAAATGCCTAAAATGTCCATACATTTTGACCTTGAGATCATACTACTAGAATATATATGTCAGGGAGATCAAACATAGAAAGATCCAATATACACCAAAATGTTTATAACAGCACTTTTTCTGGAAGCAATGAACCAGAAACAATGTGGATATTCATCATATTAGGAATGGCTAAACAAATTGTGGTACATGTAATGGACAATGAGTGTCCTTTAAAGACAAATAAGAAAAATCCAAAAGCAAGGAAAGACACACCAACTGAGAAGTGAAAAAAGTCCAACCAAGAAAACAATCTATGCAAATAGTACAACAATGGGAAGAGAAAGAACAAAATAAAACAAAAGGAATGGAGCAGAGAGTACAAAGACCAAGTTTGGCCTCACAGAAAACCTTCGCTGTAGAGGTAGAGGACTACAGATGTGACAGATACTATAACGGTTATGCTGTTAATGTTTTTTTTTCCCCCTCTCTTTTCATTCTTTGTTAATGTTTGTTAGAAGAGATGGCTCTCTGCGTAATGGAAGTAGGGAGGAGTACATTCAGAAATAAACAATATAAGAAACAAATGGCAACTTTTTTTTTTTAACTAAGGCAGAGAGGTCTTAAGTATAAGGCTGAGTTAAGTGAATGAAATTATTAATTTGAATTAATTTTTTAAATCAAAACTAGAAGTTCAGTGAACATAAATGTCAAAATTCCACTTTTTGGTTAAGCGATACAGGGATCTGACAAAAAATATTGGGAGAAACAAAACCTAAGAAGATAATTTTGTTCTACAAGTGTAAAACTTATGTAGTGGTATACAGTTAACAGCAAGATATTCAGGATTGTCAGTTTAAGTTACCCATATTCTTACCACTGAAGAGAACAACTGAACTGTAGAATTAAGAACATCAACATTTACAGTAGAAACTTCAGTAAGATTATGATATAAGATTCTTTGACCCAGTACTACCCCTCCTAGGTCTGTAATCCAAAGATATCAAAGAAAAAGTAAGAGGCCCAGCTAGGTGGCACAGTGGTTAGAGAGTCTGGAGTCAGGAGACCTGAGTTCAAATCCGGCCTCAGACATTTGACACTTAACTAGCTGTATGACCCTGGGCACACATAACCCCACTGCCTAACCCCCCCCCCCAAAAAAAAATATATATATATATATTAAATGAGGTTAAAAAAGGGATAAGGATTTGAGCAAAGATCAAAGTAAAGAACAGATTCCCAAATCTAAGTATTTAGCTGTTACATCTTCCCTGAGCTCCTATCCCATATCTGTGCCTACTCAACATCACCACCTAGATGTACTACAGGTATCTCAAACCCAATATGTCCAAAACAGAAGTCATTATCTTTTCACTTAAACCCAACCTTTCTCCTAATTTCCAGATTTCTGTTCACAATACTGCCACTCTTCTAGTCACCCAGGGTCATCCTCAACTGCAATCTCAGAGTTATCCTCAACTCTTCATATTCACTTACATTCAATCAGTTGTTAATTCTTGTGGATTCTACCTCCTTAACCTGTCTCCTAGCACAGTGGATAAGAGTATTGGACCTAGAGTCTGGAAGACTCATCTTCCTGAGTTTAAGTATGGCTTCAAACACTTCCTAGCTGTGTGACCCTGAGCAAGCCACTTACTCCTGTTTGCCTCAGTTTCCTCATCTGTAAAATGAATTGGAGAAGGAAATGGCAAAGCACTCCAATATCTTTGCCAAAAAAACCACAAACAGGGTCACAAAGAGTCAGACACGACTGAAGGACAACAATAAAAACCTCTCTCATACCCATCTCCTCTTTTTCTTCACATCCTAACTACCCTGGTCCAAGCCCTTATCATCACTTGCCTGGACTACTGCGATAGCTTCCCAATTTGTCTCCCTATCTGCTATTTCTCTCCTCTCCAATCTTCCATAATGCTGACAAATTCATATTCCTAAGACATTGCTCTAACTATGTCATGCCATTGCTCAAAAAATATAGTGGCTCCCGGTTTGCCCTTAGGAGAAAGATCAAACATCTCTGTTCAGCATTTTATAACCTGGCTCCAACTGACTTAGCCTACTTGCTGTTCCTCATAAATGGTTTATCTCCTGCTTAAGTACCTTTGCATAGTCTATCCCCTTATATCTAGTATTTTCTTTCTTCACCTCTGCCTCTGGGAATCCCTAATTCCCTTCAACACTTCAAGAGGCTAGGGAACAAAGTGATCATACCTGAGAATATGAATGGGATGGATTCACCCTTAAAACAGAAGCAGACAGGAGAACGGATTAGAAATATGAATCTAATAATATGTAGCTTACAAGAGACACATTTAAAATAGAAAGACACAACAAAGAGTTAAAATAAGGGACTGGAACAGAATCTATTATGCTTCATATGAAATAAGAAAGGTAGAAGTAGAAAACAGGATCTCAGACAAAGCAAAAGCAAAAACAGACTTAAAAGATATAATCAGTGAAACTACATTTTGCTAAACGGTGCTATAGAAAATGAGGTAATATCAAAAGTTTTTTTTACAGCCAGTTTCTCTGCTAAAGGCTTCACTTCTCAACCATATGGGGAACTGAGCTAAATTTACAAAAATAAGAGCCATTCCCCCAAGCAGTTATCAAAAGAAGAAATCAAAGCTATCAACAATCACATGAAAAAATGTCCTAGATCACTATTGATTAGAGAAACGCAAATTAAAAGAACTCTGAGGTACCACTTCATACCTATCAGATTGGCTAACATGATAGAAAAAGAAAATGACAAATACTGGAGGAAATGTGGAAAATTAGGTATGCTAGTACACTGCTGGAGGATTTTTGAATTGGTCCAACTAGCCTGAAGAGCAATTTGGTACTGTATCTATAAAACTGTGCATATTCTTTGACCCAGTACTACCCCTCCTAGGTCTGTAATCCAAAGATATCAAAGAAAAAGTCAGAGGCCCTATAGGCACAAAATTTTTTTTTTAGCTTTATTTTTTTTTGTGGTGGTAAAGAATTGGAAATTAAGGGAATGCCCATCAACTGGGGAATGGCTGAATAAGTTGTGGTATATGATCGTAATGGAATACTATAAGAAATGACCAGCAAAATGATTCCAGAAAAACCTGTGAAGACCTATATGAACTGATGCAGAATGAAGTGAGCCGAATCAGATCATTGTACACAGTAATAGCAAAACTGTAATGATGATCAACTGCAAAAGACTTAATTCAGGGGTGTGGGGGAAACTGGCCTTGAGGCCACATGTGGCCTTCTAGGTCCTTGGGTGCAGCCTTTTGACTGAATCCAAGTTTTACAGAACAAATCTTTTTATTAAGGAGATTTGCTCTGTGGATTCTGGATTCAGTCAAAGGGCCACACCTCTGATTAGCTACTCTGATCAAGACAATCTGAAGGACCTGTGATGAAAAATGCTATACATCTCCAGAACTGATAAACTCTGAGTGCAAATTGAAGTATATATTTTTTCACTTTATTTTTCTTGGGTTTGGGGAATATGGCTAATATGGAAATGTTCTGCACAATCTCACATAAATAATGGACATCATATTGCCTGCCTTCTCAATGGGGAGGGGGCTCTGGAGGAAGGGAAGGAAAGAATGTAGAACTCAAAAAATATTTTGAAAAGGATGCTAAAAATAATTTTAAAAAAAGACTTTAGGAGGCCCTTCTTAATTCTCCCAGTTAATTCTCTCTCCCTTCATAACCTGCGTGTATTTATTTTGTATATATCCTGTATTTATCTGTATGTTGTTTATGATAGTTAATATACTATCTAGGTAAGATTCCAGAATTCCTTGATATTCCCACGACCTACTAAAAAGAACTTCCTCCCCATCTTGTTCACAGGATCATTGCTATAAAGTTGTAAGAGACCTTGGAGATTAATCCTGGCCGACAGAAGAAATTTTTAAATGCATCAAAAATGTGGGGTGGAAAATGCTACCCACATCCAAAGAAAGAACTACAGAGTATGAATGCAGATGGAAGCGTACTATTTGCTTTTTTTTCTTCTGTTTTGTTTTGTTTCCTCTTTCTTGTGGTTCCTTCTATTGGTTCTAATTCTTCCTTACAACATGACTAATGTGAAGATACGTTTAATAGTTTAATGTATATGTATAGCCTATATCAGATTGCACGCCGTCTTGGCGAGGGAGATGGGGAAGAAGAGGGAGAAAAATTTAAAACTCAAAAGCTTATGGAAGTGATTGTTGATAAATGAAAAAAAATTAATAAAAAAATGTGGGGGTGGAGGAAGAGGGAAAAAAATGGAAAATAATAGGGAAACAATAGGGAAAAAAAGTTCTTATAAAAGCAATTCCCATTCTTGTAGAGATGGAGCCCATGGTCTCCATAGGTTCTCCTTTCTCCAATGAAACTAATCAACTGCTGCCAAGGCAACCGAATCCAAACAGAAGGAAGACTTTTAATGATGTTACGTTTCTTCTACAAGTTAGCAATCACCGGTTCTTAAATCAGGTTAGAGATCATCAGTTGGGAGAATCTTGCGGGCGGGAGCCTCTTTTCCCAGCCCCCGCCCCCTCCACCCTCCACGCTCTACCCCACCCCCTCCGTCAAGCTTCTCTCCTCCCGGTCGACCCGGCACGCCAGCATCACCCTCTCCAAGCCGAGGAGGACCGTCCCGAGAACCTAGAAGGACGGACTTCCCCCGCCTCTCCGCCCCGTCTCCCTTTCCCCAGGAGTGTCTTCGTAGTCGGGCCCCTCTCCCCCCGGCACCGCGGCTACTCCCTCCTAACCACTGCAATGCCACAGCGGCGGGGGGCCGAAGAGCTGGAAGCAGAGAAGTCGGGATAGCAGGGAAGGGGAGGGAAGAGAGTGGGCGCTGATGGTGGGAAAGGAAGCCCCAGACTGTAAGGAGAGGAGGTTCTCGGGAGAGGAGAGAAAAAAGCTGGGAAACCGTAGGCACTTAGCCGGCTCCTACCGTCTGTGGGAGACGCCATCTTCCGACCCATGTCACGTGACACAGCCAACCGTCGGCGGGAAAGTGAGCAGCAAGCCCCGCCCCTCGAACCTATCCAGTCCCCGCCCCATCTCCCCCGCCCCAATCTGTGAGGCCGATTGCCTAGTACCGCCCCGTACCTTCCCCTCCCACCCGTTTCCCCCTCCCCGCCTTAGCCACACCCCCTAACTTAAGCCGACCGAGGCCAAAATTCCCAGTCCTTGTTTACATTCCTCCCCCTCAGGAGGCGGAGCCGAGCTCTCTCCCGGTGGCCAATCCACGCTCCCCGTGAGGGGGCGTCTTCTTTCCGTGCTCTTCTGGCTGAAGATACGAAAACAAGGGGGCGTCTTTCCAGCCTCGGCCAATCGAGGGAGGGGAGGTTCTGGGGGTGGCGGCGGCGGCGGCGGCGCGGAACCAAATCTCCATTTGGAGCATATCGGATACTTTCCCAGATGATCTTTGGCGGAGGGGGGAGCGGGGGCGGGGAAGGAGGCCGCGCCGAGTGATTGGCCGGAACCAAGGACCTCCTCCTCCCCCTCCTCGCCAATGGAAAGGCTAGGGAGGCGGGGTCAGCCGGCGGTGGGGCTGGAGAGCCATCCCGTGACTGAGACAGGCAGAGATGGCGGTGTTGACGGCGGCGGCGGCGACGGGCTTACGAGCCCGGATGCTTCGGGTGAGAAAAAGCGGGGAACTTTGAGCCGACTCCTCCCCCCTGCCCGGGCCGAGGAGACCCCGGGATCCAGTCCCGCCCCCCCTGACCCCCAGCCCTCGCCGCCTCCCAGGCCTTTGTCCCGGCTGTGTCAGCCCCTTCCCGAGCTGAGCGACCCCGGGCTGGTCCTGCCAGCGGCCAGTTCACCTCTGGCGTACAAAACCTGATTTTTTAAAAATCCTGGCCTTGAACTTTTCTCCCCAGGCCGGGTGCTTGGTCCTCTGCTGACGCTCTTATCTCCGTTCTGCCCACTCTCCGCCCACTGCCCTGCCCGTTACTCGCTTACACCACGTAGGCTTAACCTGGGGTCCACCTGCACGCGGCTCTGAAAAAATACTGTTGTTAACTACATTTAAGTATTGATTTCTTTTGTAATCCTGCGTGTTTTATTGTATGCGTTTAAAAAAAACATTCTAATGAGTCCGCAGGCTGTATAAGACTGCCAGAGGGGTCCCTGAAACCAAAAACAGCTGCTGTGGAAGCTGCGCCTGCAGCTAAGGGAGAGAGCCCCCTTCATCGCCCTGCCTTTCTCCAGCCAGCTTGCCCTCTGAACTCTGGAGTTCTTGGTGGGAAAGAGAGAAGACGACTTGAAGGAACTTTGACTCTTCTAGATTTCAGAAGCTTTTCGCCAAAGACAGTTCCTCCCTAATCTCATTTGGGGGGGGGGGGGTAAATAATGCTGTAGTCTGTTTTAGGCACAAGTGTGCCAGAAACATTTTAATTTAACATTCCAAATCCAAGCATTTCTAGCTTAAAGATATGTCCAAAACGAAGTTCTGCCATGCCTTTAAACATATCCCTACCCCAGTTCACAGTTGAAGGATTTTTTTTTCATGCTTTTTGTCATTTCCAAACATAAACCCTTCCAGCTAAATAATCCCTTCCTTGGAACAAAGAAAGACAATTAAGCAAAACCAACCAACACAATGAAAAATTTTAGTCAAATGGTACATTTTTTTTCCTTTTTTTGTCTCATAGGTTTCTTCCAAGATAACCCTGTCATACTCTGCCCATCTTTTCTTTCTTTATCAATGGCAAATTCCAAGATGAAGTGGTTGCATTTTTCCAAGATTCTCATCATTTCTAATTTGGCACCAAATCCTCCTTATTGGTCAAGATTGGATTCAAAGTAGCATTTCCTTTCACCTCCTTCCATTTTTGAACAATAAAGGTATCTTTAAGGCAAATCATATTCCAAACAATTAGATTCAGAAAAACTGATGGAGAACAAAGCAAACAAGGAGAACTGTAAGCACAATGACCTCAGTGATGTAAAGGAAAATCACACTAAATATGAGAATTTAGACCAATGAAGGGACCAGTTCTTGACCCCAAGATGGCTGGTCGACCATGAAACATAGCTCCTTCTTGGTAGAAAATTGGTGCACTACAGGTAGAGAATGAGGTCTACATTGTTGTGATCAACATGTTGGTTTGGCTTAACTTCTTTTTGCAAGGTACAGTTGTACTAGGCAAGAGTTATTGGGAAGTGAAAATATGTTTAAAAGCATCAATGAATTTTTTTTTAAATTTACCACCTGCTCTTCTTTTAGCTGTCTGCTTTAGGATATGTCTAGATGACGATGATAACATAGTTAATATCTATATGACTCTAAAAGATCTGTCAATATCTTTACATAGTCTCATTTGATAAATGAGTCTTCTGTTATTACTATACCTTCATGCCACATTTACGATCTCTTTCCCAAGTTTATCATCTATATCCTTCTACCAAATATGTTCCCATTACAATGTTCTTTTAAACTCCACTGATCTTCACCCCAATGTTCTTCACCATTTTTCCTTGTCTCACTTATGGATTTCCTAACACTAATGTATATTCTTATTATATAATGTTGTCATGATTGCCTTTTAGTTAATCTGTTCTCTTTGAATAAGGTATACCCTTCTGTTCCCATATCTAGTCTTGAATACTATCCTACTAAGTCTCGGTGATACTTAACACCGATAAATGCAAATATCTTACTGCAAATATCACTTTGCAGTAAGAGCGCTAGTTCCTCTGTTACACTTGATACTTTATGGAGTATTTGGCATTGTGGATATAGTTGTTCTGTTCTCTCCCCCTACATTTTTCATTGAATTTCTACTCCAAAAAATGATAGAATCTCTTTCTTTCTTTCCTCCTTTTTTTTTTTTTTTGGTCTCATAGGTTTCTTCCAAGATAAACCCTACCTGGTGTCCAGCATCCTTTTTTTCCTCTTCATCAGTGGTAAGTTCACACTGGCATAAAGGCCAGTTTATGGTAGTTGATCCTTCTGATCTTTAGGAAAAGGGATATCATTTTCCTGTGGTATCACTTGTACAAAAATATTTATAGCAACTCTGATTGTGGTAGCAAAGAATTAAAAATTGAGGGGATGTCCATCAATTGGGGAATGGCTGAACAAGTTGTGGTATATGATTGTAAGATATACTATTATGCTATAAGAAATGACAAGCAGGATGATTTCAGAAAAATCTGTTAACACTTACACAAACTGATACAGAATGAAGTAAGCAAGGAGAACATTGTACATAGTAACAGCAATATTGTACGATGATCAACTGAATGACTTAGCTATTCTCAGCAATACCATGATCCAAGATAATTCCAAGGGATTCATGATGAAAAATGCTATTTAACTCCTGAGAAAGAACTGATGGAGTCTGAATGCAAATCGAAGCATACTATTTTTCACATTTTTGTGTGAGTGGGTTTTTTTTGGGGGGAGGTCTGTTTTCTTTCACAACATGACTAATATGGAAATATATTTTGCATAATTGCACATGTATGACCTCTATCAAATTGCTTACCCTCTCAGGGAGGAGGGAGGAAAGAAGGGAGAGAATGTAGAACTCAAATTTTTGAAAAATGAATGTTAAAAATTGTCTTTAAGGGCAGCTAGGTGGTGCAGTGGATAGAGCACCAGCCCTGAAGTCAGGAGGACCTGAATTCAAATATGGCCTTAGACACTTGACACTTAACTAGCTGTGTGACCCTGGGCAAGTCACTTAACCCCATTGCCTAGCCCCCCCCCCCCAAAAAAAATTGTCTTTACATGTAATTGGGGAAAAACTAAAATATTACTCAAAAAAATTTTAAGCTTTATACTCCCAATAGTATTTGATTAACGTACAGAGACTTATTAGAGCCTGAGTATAATATGTAATTTCAAACCACCTACCATTTCTGTCAATTCATCAGTGGATTCCAAAGAACCTTTTGAATTTATACTTTTCTTATCTTATGATGAGTATTACTGCCTGTCCCACCAGAGACTGGGGCTTGATTCTCTGACCAGGAGTATTTACAAGATTTCCTTTAAATTGGAGAATCCCAATAATAACAAATTGTTGTTCTTTTTCAGCCAAGAGTCAAACTTTTCATAGATGGGAAATTTGTTGAATCTAAAAGTGACAAGTGGATCGACATTCACAACCCAGTAAGAAAAGTTGCTTTGGAAGTCACATTGACCAACTAAAAATATTCTGAGAATATGATGGGGAAATACAGGATTGAGTATACATTATTAACTAATGGGCTGGCTACTGCATCATGAGACTGCGTTAGGGGATAAAAAGTGGCACAAAAGTAAAGTATGACATGCTACTCTATCTCATCAGGCTACCAATGAGTTGATTGGCCGAGTTCCCAAAGCTACAGAGGCTGAAATGAATGCAGCTGTGGAGTCCTGCAAACGTGCTTTTCACCCGTGGTCACAGACATCTGTACTAAGCCGCCAGCAGGTCCTGCTACGGTATCAGCAGCTTATCAAGGAAAACTTGGTGAGAAAATCTAAATAATATATTTTCCCTGGGAATAAGGCATAGAGGACCCCCATTTATCCTGGATACTGTCACCTATGTAACATCCTTAAATTCCGTAATGACTCTTTCTCTTGGTGCCTATTCGGAAATCTATAGCACAGACACAAACCTGAAGTTTGCTATATTTGTTAGCTATTTTTGCTATAAAATTTTTCCCCAGTAGTATTTGCCTAATTACTCATCTTCCTTGGCTATGTGGGGAATATTCAGTAGAAGAGAGGTGAGAAAGGGTTTCTTCTCTTGCTTTGGTTTAATTTTGTTTTCTTTTTAGAAAGAAATTGCTAAGCTAATCACTTTGGAGCAAGGGAAGACCCTGGCTGATGCTGAGGGAGATGTGTTCCGAGGCCTTCGTAAGCTGACAGTCCCTCATAAGAATTTCAGGAGCTTCTGGGAGGGATGGAGGGAGGAAGAGGATACTGAGAATGATAAGTTTCTTCATTATAGAATATGCAGTTAATGCTTGAAAATTTTCCTGGCCA